TACTAACTGGAAAGCTTGACCTGGAAAAACCCATATCTAATCCTACAAAGAGAAGATGGATTTTTTTTTTTTTTAACAATACTTCAAAGCCTAGTGATATATACTTGATATTTCTCCTTTGAACGGGAAGAATCTTTCACTTAAAATAGGCAAAAAATAAATAAATGCAGAAAGTACCATAAATCGTCGCAGAGTTAGTAGTTTATGGTCTTGTTATGAACCTCATGTAGCATTTTATTTGTATTACCAAATACTACACATATTTGCAGCACTTTCTACAGACACATGGTCAGGGCCAACTCAGGCAACTCCGACAGTGACTCCTTTTACTCTGTTACATAACTCGTGTCCACCCAGTAAGTCCATTCTCCTTGCATTACAGGGTTAGAGTGATGAGTCCTACCAAGTGTTGTTCCTTGAAGTAGTACACAGCTCAGGGCGTACGTAGAAACCGTGTGTGTCCTTGTGTCTGAAACAAGGAAGAGCACTTTCTCATCACATTTCTCTACCTAATTTTCACTCAGAAAGCTTGACTGAGGCCCTCTGCATCAGTCTACTGTAGATCTAAAATAATTCAAAAACACGGATAGAAATAAACATCAAGCATGAGAAGGAGAGGAAGAGAAATTAGAGCATAAATCAGAATAAAGGAAAAACAGGAAGAAAAGAGCTGAGATGAGAGCGTGCTTTGATTTGAAGAAAGAGCACAAAGAATCAAACAGAAATGTTTTTCTTTTCCAAACAGTATCTTTTACCATTTACCCCAAACTGCCATGATGACATGGATATCAGAGATACAGTGATATTTTACCCCCAAAATATCCTGTGGGGTAAAAAAAAAGAGCAAATATTTCTTCCCATGCTTTATGTATGACAAGTGAACAGAAAGAGAGCAGACGACTTAACGAAGGACAACCCCGATGAAGAGAACTTACGTTAATCATTCAGCTGTTCATGTGAGGACACTGCACACCCTTGAAATCTGGGTAGCAGAACTTTGTTGACAAAACAGTTTAAAGAACAATCATAAAGAAACAGTGTTAGAAATCAGTTCCATTCCAAGTACCATCCATCAATCAGGCCTGCTGGAAATAAAATTTATATGAAAAGTGTATCTCACAAGACTGTGAATGAGAGGTAACTATTAACACCCCCAGTTACCCAAGTCAGAGGATTTGTTTTAAATTGTCACATGGGAAGTACCATCAAATGAATTCTGAGCTTCTCTGAGACAAAACTAGGGAGCTGGAAATACAGCAGAGATAGGGAGTTGTTGTTTGTTTCTCTTCTTTCCAGTTTATTTCCAGTCTAGAAATTACTCTCAAAAAAACTGGAATATCAAATTTCACTCTCATAGCCCGATGTCATGGGAGGCCAGAATGTATAACACAGAGGGTGCAGGAAACAAACATTCAAGAAAAGACAGACTTAAAAATTTGAGATGAAGTTTAGAATTTTGTGGTTCTGGGACCAGTAGCTGGCATTATAGCTATGTCACTGGACTCCCATGTGGGAGACCGCGGTTTGAGTCCCAGACCTAGTGGCTTAAACTCAACACCAGGCATGTGTGCGTGTGTGCCCGAGATCCCGAGAAGAGAATGGAGGAGAAGGGATTTTGGTGTGGCCATTCCCCTGGGGGGTGATTTCTTGCTTTCTGTCTCTCCGTCTCCCTCGATCTTTTTGGCGAGCGCACGTGCCCTATGGCAAAAATCTCTCAAAAAAATAAAAAAAGAATTTTGTGCTTCTAAATTTGTTCTGTATTAAAAATTAAAATGTAAATTTTTTTTCCATTCATTGAGTTTCTTTTATAAAAAATGATTTATTTTATTTACTATTTTATTTGACTAGAGAGAGCCAGAAAAAGAGAAAGGGAAGGTGAGAAAGCAAGCTGTCAGGTCCAAGACTTGAACCATGGGAAACAAACATTCAAGAAAAGACAGACTTAAAAATTTGAGATGAAGTTTAGAATTTTGTGGTTCTGGGACCAGTAGCTGGCATTATAGCTATGTCACTGGACTCCCATGTGGGAGACCGCGGTTTGAGTCCCAGACCTAGTGGCTTAAACTCAACACCAGGCATGTGTGCGTGTGTGCCCGAGATCCCGAGAAGAGAATGGAGGAGAAGGGATTTTGGTGTGGCCATTCCCCTGGGGGGTGATTTCTTGCTTTCTGTCTCTCCGTCTCCCTCGATCTTTTTGGCGAGCGCACGTGCCCTATGGCAAAAATCTCTCAAAAAAATAAAAAAAGAATTTTGTGCTTCTAAATTTGTTCTGTATTAAAAATTAAAATGTAAATTTTTTTTCCATTCATTGAGTTTCTTTTATAAAAAATGATTTATTTTATTTACTATTTTATTTGACTAGAGAGAGCCAGAAAAAGAGAAAGGGAAGGTGAGAAAGCAAGCTGTCAGGTCCAAGACTTGAACCATGACTGACCATGTGAGAGTCCAGCATCTTAATTACCATGCCACTTGCCAGCCCCACATTCATTGAGTTTTTGATTTAGTAATCTGTGGTAGAGCGTGTAGTTGTGGGTTTTTCACTGTTGATTAGGAGACAACATTAGGAAAAAACACATTATAGTACCATTTGAAGAGCTTTCCAAATGAATTATTTCATTCCTTTTGCTGAGTTCCCCTGTGCACTAATCAATAATATGAAAGGCCTCCAAAACGTTCATGGAAGTGTATATTATGAAAAACTTCTGCCAATTTTTGCACCAAAATTAATTCACATTTTAATTCTGTTTTACCTGAAAATTTCAAAGTATTTCTGTACACAAGTGGATATATTTTTTACAAATATTTATTGTATTTGGAGGTTTATACTTCATTTACAGCAGAAATACAGCCATTAGACTTGAGGAACATTGATATTCCAGCAGGCTCTTGATAAGAATCTTCTGGTTATTATTTTTAAAAGCAGAGAAATTTGAATTACCCACTTGTGTCATCTGAAAATTAATGCATCAGTTCTCTGAGCTAGTTTCCTCTGTATTCTCTACTACTTCAGACAAAGGCATTTGGTCCTTTAGAGACTTTGGAAGAGACATTCAGTGAGGTAATTGAAATATTTTAAAATTTAATTAAAACTGTAAATGTAGAGGCCAGCAGATGGAGGAGAGGTTACTTCACTGAACTGCCACATGACCCACTGTGGTTTAAGACCTGGACCCAGTGACTTGAAACCAGGCATGTGGGTATACATGCCCAATTTCCCATGAGAATGGAGGGGAAGGGATTGCGGCAAGGCCATCCCCTGAGGGGTAGGGGGAGGTGATCTCTCACTTTCCCTCTCACTGTCTCTGTCTCCCTCTGTGTCTTTCTCTTTCTCCAGAGAGCATACATGCCCTAAAGCAAAAACCTCTAAAAAAAACCCAGTAAATGTATATAATAATTTTGTATAAGACACTTAATCATATTTTGTACATATATTCTGTAATACTCAGAGTATGGTGTGCGTTTCACCAGCATCACTATCAGCTGGGAGTTAATTAAAACCACAGCCTCGCAGGCCCAATACAGACCCTATTATTCATCACCAGCATTTGACAATATTCCTAGGTGATTTGAATGTAAACTTGAATGGTGCAAAAAATAAAAATAATAAATAACTTTAAAATTTAAGAAGCTCTACTAAGGTATCACCCCATCACTGAACTAGTCTGAGAAGAACCTTACTTGTAGTTTTATCTTAATCTCGTTTTGAATTTAGAGTGCCTTCAGCCCAATTTATCACTATATCCTCAGAAATCCTTAATTTTCTTAAACATCTCTGAGTGCTTACTATATACAATCCATGTACAAATGCCGTTTTTCAGTTATAAAAATGTGTTCACGTTGACAAAGTCTGTCAGTGACTAAATCAGGATTTGAACCCAAGCAGTGGCTTCCGAGTTGATATTCAACCACTCAAAGCCCAAGTGAGGAAACTCTTTGATACTGGAAATAACAAAATATTAAGCGACTGTAGTGATGATTCAGTAGATGAAGATACGTAACTGTCCCTGAATCAAGGATAAAATTAATCCTTGATATTTAAGTGAAATGTGTGTGCTCTTCTAAAGTCAACTTTGTCTACCCCACAGCAGGATAATGAGGCAGAATTAATGTACTGAATATACTGATAGGTCAGATCTTATAAGAACTACGAAGTGAAAATGTCGTTCTTTCCAAGCAATAATCTAGTAACAGCCACGGTGGTTCACAGATGACTGAGCTTTAGAGCCAGACAAAACAAAAGAGGAGAAAAAGAACTGTTTATATAAATGTGAACGGAAATCTCATGGTTGCATAATCACATTCCCTACTGATGAGTGACTAAACTGTCATGGGCTATGCGCTTTACTTTAGATGAAGGGAATCTGGGGCAATCGGGGAAATTGCTTCAAAGTTTTTCTCTTCACTCTTCTCCCTCATTATCATTTCTATCATTTCTCCTAGGATGTCCTAAAAACTGGTGATATGTATTTCAAGTTTGACATCCAATATCAAATTTCTTGTGGTGGGGTAAACCTCACGAACATGTAAATAAGTATTTCTCCCCTGCCCAAACTAGATTATAGATTAAGGACCCAAAACAAAATAATTATTTCCTTTCTTAAAGACTGTATCTCTAAACTTTGGATGGGAATCCTGTTCTACAGATGAGGAGGCTGTAAAGACTTAAGCCTTGTCCATAAAACAACAGAAATAGCTCACCTGTCTGCAGTTCAAGAAAGAGTAAGAGGGTGTGGCTGACGTAACCAGAGGAGAACTGTGAATATGTTATCAAGTTAAAACTCCCATTTCTTCACTTTCTGTCTCTCTGTCTCTCTTTCTGGTGAGCACAAGCACCCTGTAGCAAAAACCTCTCAATAAAAAAAAAAAGAATAAAAACTCGTTTACAATGGAGAAAAGTGCTAGTGATGAGAGTAAAGAGTATTCTAAAGTCAAATTTGAGAAGGTTATTGAAGCAAATTGATGCCCACTATCAAAAGTAACTGTGTTATTTTGCTTTCCAGTGTGTATGTACAGAGAACCATCACTACATGAAATTGGAGAAAAACAGGGGCGTTCGAGGAAAAGTTCTGGAACACCAACCATGAATGGAGGCAAAGTCGTCAATCAAGATTCAACATAGTTGAGAACTCTTCTCTTCCTCCCTCGCTCATCCCGTTCCTTTCTCTCCCCTCCCCTTTTACCCATTCCCTTCCAGTAAACTCACCCAAGGAGAGGAAAATAAAATGGCAACGCAGGACCTAGTGGCTAAGATTCTACACTCAAAACACTCCTTTATGTAGGACAAGAAAATTGAACCAAAGCTTGCCTGTTGCAATGTGGTAGAAAATTCACATGCACAAAGATTAGCACACATAAAAGCAAAGGAAAAAAATAAATTGAGACTCCACAAACATTAAATTTAACTGCGTTGTTATTAATAGAGGGCTAATTGTAATGAAGCCATAACTATAATAAAGATAAAGTTAATGCTTTGAAGAAAAGGGTTTTAGGGAATTGAGCTTACAAATTGATGTTATAAACTGAATTGCTTAAACTCTGAATAATGCTGTGATGAGTGGTTTGGTTTAATTTTATATTTTCCTTAATCATCTAGAATTAACACACAATTACATCCTGTTTTCATATTTTTGTTTTTAACCACAGGATTGAACATATTTGAATTATAGACTCTTTTAATGCCGATAACCATTTAACATCAAGAAAAGTTGAAAAAACTAGTCTTGAAACTGTTTAAGAGTCAAGATTGTTTTATGCAAAAGATCATCTTGTATTGACTTTAATGGCATTACTGATTTAATTATTTTATAAAATGAGTTTCAGATTCTCCTAGGAGAATATCATATTTTTATTAAATATATTGATTCAGCATCTCATTTTTTTTTTCAGTCAGATAAAACGATCTTGCTCTAATACTGAAGTAACTTTTGGGAATTCCTTGTCATTGCCGTGTCCAGAGAGTGAGGTAGAAGCTACTTGTTCTTCACTCCTTGGTCTGATTTTTTTGCATTGTGGACACCTTTGAGAGTGTAGGTGCATGTCTAGCTGTCTTAAGAAAGTTTTGCACCATACCTTGCAGCAGGAAATAAGGAAGAGGGTTTTTACATAAGGAAACAATTCCTAGGAATTAGATTGAAGCAAACTGTATTTGCTTTTGCACCTTACGAGAATTTTGTGTATATAGCCTTTTTCCAAAACTCTGACAAGAAACTGATCGACAGGTTGTGAAATTCCTGACTTACACATTACCTGAGGAAGCAGTGATTGGTTTGTTTCTATATGTTCTCGTCGTCTAACTGACATTAAGTCTGTCTCCTAGAACACAGAAAGGTACTAGTAATGCACTGAATTTTCAAGGGACATAGAGAAACAATATGGAATTCGTAAATATGGCTCCAACAGACAGGGTTGTGTGAGGAGATTAAAGCAGTGAAAAAGAACTCAGTGTAAGAGCAGGCAAACCCATAGTTAGAAATATTAAAGTATATTAGGAATGAAATTAATGTAATGTGATCGCATTGGAATAAATAGATCTACTTCGTCCTACAAATCAGGAATGGTATAGAGACATCCAAATTAAAAGAAAACAATACAGGATGTTTACAAAAATGTATACAGATTTATGGATATTATCAGTGAGAAGACTTAGCATGTAACTTCTCCTATATCTCTTCTGTCCAGCATGTATTGTTCCAAATATGACACCCTAAAATATATACACTTCGCAGAAGCACTAGGCCCTCACCTTCAACCTTGCCATTGGTTGCTGTATTCTTTCAAGGTCAGCGTAGTTTCCCTCACTCTACACAATCATTATTCTTCAATAGTGGTTTGTGTCCTTCACCAAGTATCCTATTTATATAATTATCAGGAGGTTCACAAAAAAGGAAATGGAGGAACTGGCCTAATCTTTTGGGAAGAATAGACATTATGCATTCAACAAGGATTTGGAACACAAGTTTGCAAGAGGTATTTGTTTCATGAGAGTAATTGCAAAGTAATAAAGAAATTAGCAATTTTTAAAATAAATGTTGCTCTGCTAGGAAAAGAATCCCCTTGTGAAAAATATACAAATTTGGCTGTATTTCTCCTTGTCACTCTTGATTCAATGTGATTAAAACTATACCTGTCACTTCTAGGACCAAACAAATCCCAAGCACAAACCTTATTTTCTTTGAAAAAATAAATAAGAGGCTTCAACAAAATGGGTCACAGGCTCCTTCAGCATGAAATTATTTGAGCTTTTGTGGTAAGACCTACACACACACTCATTGATGGTTTCACAACACAGTTGATGGAATTTATAATCATCAATTACACTGAAGATGTCATGATGGAATATATTTAACCCAGTTAATTGTGAAAAAATATGTTAGAAATATGAATTTCCAACAAAATTCTTTCATCTCTTTCCAATGGCTAGTCATCATTTATCCTCCAGACTCAGCAATTAGAAAACAGAGTTCCAACCACCCTATTTGTATATATATATATTTTTCCCCATATCATGCTAAGCAAATGTTCACTGCAGTAAAATGGTTTGGACATTAGTTTTGTCTTATTTCCAATTCAATTCAGAGAATGAGTTGGAAATGTTAAAAATTTATTTTACACACATCAACCCGACAACATTTTTGGTTTAGAGTACCGGGTAAATGTTTGATTAACTGCTGCTTACTTTTTAAGTATATAAAAACTGTAATAGAAAAAGTCAGTATTCACTGTCTAGATTTTATAAAATATTACCAAATGTAAAAACACACAATTATCTAATTTTTGACAAAAATATGAGCCGGTTTAAATATTTTATTTTCAGGTTTATTACAAATATAGTAATTACTTATTTTGGTTTTCATTGTTATAATTTCTGGGTCTTCAACTCATCCATAATTTATTCTCCTTTAAGTGAAATAAGCTTTTTGCAAAATACATTGCAATACTCTCAAGAAAAATATGGCTTTTAGTCAAGCTTTGTAATTGGCTATGTAAATATAAATTAAGACATGTTCACTCTGAGTCCTTACTGTTCTGTTTCAAAATCAATGGGATAAAGAATGAAAACAAAACTGTTGGAAGTCTCACAAAATAGCTTTCTGGCCAATATATCTTACTTGACTTTTAAGCTAGAGGTTTGAGGTATAGACACAAATGGTGCTGAAGTTCCATTTACTAATTCAGAGACGTTAGTGCTTCAGGAAACTGAGGACAGCAAATGTCATATTCTGGATCATAGTCATCGTTCCGGCTTTGAATTTTACATATGAATTTCATAGTACATTTTTAACCACTGTGGATTGGTACAATAAAGAGACATCAGTGTAATGCACTACGATGCTGTATGGGCCTCATTCTAATTCAGAAGTGCTTCGGAGAACTCCTTTTTAAGAAAATGGTAACACTGAAGATGGGTACTCAGTTTGGTGGTCCTGGGAGAGATGAAAGTATTCAGCCGAGGTTAAGAATGAAGAGTAACTTCTCTGTTGTATATTGAAAAGTTTGAAGGTCCTGATTTGGGGCTACCATCTTCTTGGTGAAAAAAGGGTGATTACATCAACAATAATTTTTTTTTCATAGACCCAGAAATAGCAAATCTACTACCCTATCCTCATGACTTAGTCTACAAGGCCTTGCTCTCGAGAAGGTTTTTCATAACGTTAATTTCATCTGCTCAAGGTGAGACACAGTCAATCAAAAAACTCCCTGCTCATTTTAATACCATAAAAGGCTGAGGTTATTTCTCTGTCATAAAATTGTAAATAGCCTTTTTTTAAGTCAGAATCACATTTAAACAGTGGATTGTTCTACGAATATATATGTGTATATATACATATGCTTCAGAAATAAGGATATATTATATAGAGTTTTTATTTGATTTGTGGTCTTTCGTCATAGATAAGCAAAAAAAAGAGATTTGAATGCAAAACTTTATATATAAATGTATATTTCTAATGACAGTACAAATTGCCACTTTATAATAAAAATTAAGAAACAGGTGGGAACAATAATCAAAGCACATGCTCCTTAAGAACTTCAGTGATTTTTAATCCCCTCTTTCATGCAGAGATATTCTTTTTACTTTTGAAATAAAAATATCTTTGAAAGCTATACTTCCTAATACAGATTCCACAATAAATCACATTAGATTGAAAACTTATGGTTGAAGGACAGGAAAACGATACTAAATGCCGATATTTATTTTTCAGGACACTTCTGGGAACCCCGGTTAAAAAAATAAATATTTCATCTAAATTAAGTGAAAATTGCTAATATTCAGGGATGATCTAGTGAACTTCAATAGCAAACAGAAGAAAAATAAAAATATTTCACATTATGATTATAGTACTAAAAGTGTTATAACAAAAATTGCAACATTAAATGTTTTATTAGTTGGAAAGAATGAACCGATATTTCTTTGTCTTTGCTCCAAGCACAATTTGAAGACAGTGGCATATGTTTTTCTCAGAGTTGTCCATAAAGTCAAACTATACCCCCATAAGTAGTATTGGTATTGGCATTAGTTCCATTACAAGGTTAAATCTTAAGAAATTATTGACACTGAAATGTTTAACATGTTGTATGAGAAACTGAACAAATTATTGTTTTGTTTTTGCATTAAAGCACAGATTATTTAAAATACTGTTCTTTGAAATCAGATTTGTAAAATGTTTATACATCACAACCTTCCTGAAGTAAAAATAAATTAAAATCTTGAGATGCTCATGCATGTAGACAAAGTCCTGGCATTTTATTTTTAAACATTAGTCTTTGAGATGTCTCTCTTTTTTTCATAAAGTGTGTTTATCCTTTAAGGTGTGGCTAAAAACGTACTGTGTCTTATAAAAAAAAAAAGTGATAGGACCAACAGGTGGCATGGTGGTCAAGGCACTGAACTCCCAAATGACCGAACCTGGTTCAAATCCCAGACCCCACCCCACCCCATCCCTCTGGTGAGCACACATGCTCTATAATAAATTAAATAATAATATTAAATAGAATTAAATAAATGATTATGTTTTTAAAAATGACATATTTGGGACCAACAGATGGCATAACGGCTATGTCACTGGACTCCCATGTAGTCACCTGCGGTTCTAGTCCTCTGCAGTTCTAGTCCTGGACCCGGTGGCTTAGAACTCATGCCAGGGGTCTGCATGTGTGTGCCCAAAATCCCGAGAGGAGAATGGAGGAGAAGGGATTGTGGCATGACCATCCCCCTTGGGGGGTTATTTCTTGCTTTCTGTCTCTGTCTTTCTCTGTCTCTCTGGAGAGTGCACAGGCCCTATAGCAAAAATCTCTCTTTTAAAAAAAAAAAGACAGATTTATGGATGGAAAATAAGTCAAGTTTTATTGAACAGTCATAAGTAAACATACACCTGTTTGTGGTAACCTGACATCTTTCTTTTTGAGGATTAAGAACTAGAACATATTGGGCCAGCCAGTGGCATGGTGGTTAAGGTGGCTGAATCCCACAGGGCAGAAAATGAAGTTATTCAAAATGTAGCTGATGCACTCTTTGAATTTGTTTAGACCTCTGTACCTCTTCAGATGCTCGGGACCAGCAGTTAGCATAATGGCTATGTTGCTGGACTCCCATGTAGTCGACTGCGGTTCGCATCCCAGACCCAGTAGCTTAAAACTCACGCCGGGCGCATGTGCGTGCATGCCCAAGATCCCGAAAGGAGAATGGAGGAGAAGGGATTGTGGTGTGGCCATTCCCCTGGGGGGTGATTTCTTGCTTTCTATCTCTCTGTCCCTCTCTCTGTCTGGTGAGCGCACGCGCCCTATAGCAGAAAAAAAAAAAATATATGCTTCTGGTTGCTCATCCAGAGTCCTCAAACCAAACTGAAACTTCCTCCAGAGGTGCACAGTGTCGCCACAGGGTCTGGATTTGTCTGTTGCTCTCGGTTCTGTGCATCCCCATGGATAATAACTTCCCTCATGGAGTTAAAGATCCCTTTAGGAGTGATAGGCACTCAAAAGTTGTATCATTTATTCATTCTTATAGTCACTCAGAAAAGATCTCACATCTCTTTAGCCTAGTTTGGGTAACGTGTTCATACTTTAATGAGCTACTGTGGCCAGGAATTTGAGATGTGTTGGTAAGTTTTAGAAAATCAGTGCCTTTTGCAAGACTCAAAGGTTGGATGTACTTCCTCAAAGATATAGTCTTCATGGATGAGTATTTACCTGCCACTAAACCTATTTCCTATCAAAGGTCATTAGATAAGCTAGAAATCAGCAGAAGAATACAAATATTGGTGAATTATAAATACTATAACCAATAATTGAGACCAAAAAAGAATTGAAAAATCAATTTCCCAAGCATCATTAAATGCCTTCTCTGTAGATGGCATTTTATTATTTATTTTGAAATTGTTTTCCTTATTCATGAAAGAACACATGCATGCAAGAGAGAAGAGAGAGAAAGAGCAAGAGAGAGACACAGGGAGCACATCCACAGTGTTTGGGTCATGCCACTATCCTTTTCCTCTTGTCTTCCAGCTGGTCAGATCCTGGGCACTCAGAATGTGTCCAGTGTTTTTTGAGCAGCCCTCGCTGGAGATTTGAACCACAGTAGCCAAGGGGGATTCAGCTTTTCTTGAGCTGTACATTACCATTAACCATTTTATTCTTCCTTGTTTTTTATTTTTTATTTTTCTTCCGAGTTCCGTGTTTTTTATTTTTTATTTTTCTTCCTATCAGTTGTTTTAGATGACCAAGATAGAAGGGGCTAGAAGATGCAGCTTGACTAGTCTAGATCTGAAATTTATACCTTATTTACTTTCTTTATGCCCATACAATCACTGCTAGGAGGAAGCCATTGCAAAATGCTTCTCAAATTGGCATCTTAAGCTGTCATTTCAAGTCCTAAACTCAGGGCTAGTTGGAACTTCTAAATCACCTGGGACATACATTCTTTTCTTGATCCCCCTCTACAGAGTACAGCGTTTATTTGAACATGTTAGCCTCCCAAAGCAGGCTATTTTGTGGACAGTGTTGATTTTATATTTGTATTAACATCAGATGCTTGGGTTACCTTCTTCCAGAAAATTATTTTGATTATTTATCCCAATTTCTATATTTTATTTTTTTTCCAGAGGAGCTAATATACTTTATTTTAAAGTAATGTGCATTCACTGAGCACAAGCCTTCACAATTGTTTTTCTTAGGTGTTTAATACATTATTTAAATTGTAATAATTGTGATCATTTTTCTAATCCTTTTTTTTTTTTTTTGGAGAGATTTTCACTGTAGGGCGTGTGCGCTCGCCAGACAGACAGAGAGAGACATAGAGACAGAAAGCGAGAAATCACCCCCCAGGGGGGATGGCCATGCTGCAATCCCTTCTCCTCCATTCTCCTCTTGGGATCTTGGGCACGCACGCACACACGCCCGGCGTGAGTTTTAAGCCACTGGGTCCGGGACACGAACCGCGGTCGACTACGTGGGAGTCCAGCGACATAGCCATTACGCTAACTGCTGGTTCCCTCTAATCCTTTTTTATCTAAACCATTTATTTTAATATTGTACTATGCCTCTTACATCCATACTCATGTATTACCACTGACTACTAGTTGTAATTTACTTTCTTTAAAATATGTCTCTGCCCCAGAGAGACAAACACACACAACATTAAGAGGAAATCTTTGGGATCAGCAGACGGCATAATGGTTATGTCGTTGTACTCCCGTGTAGTGGACCTTGATACAAGTCCTGGACCCAGTGGCTTAAAATTTACACCAGACACGTGTGTGTGTGCCCAAAAGTCCAAGAGGAGAGTGGAGGAGAAGGGACTGCTATGAGGC